TTATGATAATCACACGTTCTCAGGTGTATACTGGACGAGCCACAACTGCAGAAATCCGATAGCAAGCAGTTACGCAATATGACGTTTGAACTCAAGGGCCCTGTTCAAAAACGCTTTCTTTCGAACATAAATGCTAAGAAAATTCGATAAGCTACAATTAAAATCAGTATAATCTTAGACAAGGGCATTTATAAACTACAAAATACTTTTTTTACTCCTGATAGCAAAAAGGCATCATGGACGCAGGCAGATACTTACGCGAATATATTTTCGAACCACCTGTTGCAATATCATATATGGCTGCCATAATAAACCCGAGTATGGGGCTTCCTAATAAGCCAACCCAAACACTCTTCCGAGTTAGTCGAGACCAGTTGAAGCTCAGAGTGATGATTCTGACCAGGGGAGCAGTCAGCACATTGCAGATGCTTCTGAAGTTTCTTACTGTCGCCTAATTGGGAGGAAAAAATATGCGCATTCAAATTCATGAACGAGAAATGCGTACATCCATTGATGACCAAACAGCAACTCCTTTATTGGTGGTCATGAATTGTGCTTAATTTCCTATTCGTAGTAGTCATTGGTAAGCTGAATGCATGATGGTCTTAATTTTGTATATACAGTGGCAGGTCATACTCCTTAGAAGTCTGCTGTATAGCCTTCTTTTGTGTTCCGTCGAAATGTTTTCGCAAACAAATGCTGGTATCCACATCCAGTCTGTTTGACTGTTAAAGAGTTTAATCCCTTTTAGCAGCGAACTTGCCATTTAAAACGCTCGTCTCGCAAAACGCAGCCAATCAAACTGCATCAGTTCATTGCTTGGCTGCAGATGACCAAGGACACACGGCCTGGGAGCAAGGCTCAACGGCGGACACGGACACACACATATTGACAATTCCTAAACTGATCTGAAGCTAGTCAATCAATTTAAATGTTCTGCGATTGGTTCGCTCGTTACATGAAACGCTCACAGGGGTCCTCGTCACCCGAGGGTCCAGTGTACTCATAAAACAGCTAGGCGTATCACTGAAATGTCTGGGAAGTTAGACTCAGAATTAGTATTAGTGTTGGCGTTGGCATTAGCTCCCAGCAACCTAGTGCAAGAACACTAATAGTTCACAAAGGAGTAAAATAAAGTACTTGTAACATTTGATACGAAATGACGAACATTTGCTGCATCGAGTTTCAATTATGCGTTGAAAATGACTTAGCGAAGAATATGTGCTTTTCCTTTATTTGTACACCGTCTTCCGCATCCAAACTTCTATTTCGCTTTTTAGATCTTTGCAGATCCTGATATCTTTAAAGAACTTTCGGTACCTTTAATTACGAGTTTACATAAGAAACACGTTGATTTGACATTTGCGCAAGGAAGACAAAGAATCGGACTGTTAACTGGCAGTTCAAAGGATTTACATCCTTAAATGAAAATTGTGCAAACGATCTCTGATGAAGGCTTATGGGTATATTTTAAAGGGAGATCAATTAAGCCATTATCGAGAATTGAAATTGCAAATGATTGTGAAAACTTTAAAGAGGCTAGAGTTTTCTGTTGGTAATGTTACCCTTTGCAGATGGTGTGCACTTAGGAATGGGACGGTATTTGAGTGGGTACCGTGCATATAATTATGGTCCGCACGCATGTTCAGATTCTTGCATAAAACTTACGACAAAAATTGACCTCCTATGGCAGCCGAAAACGGTTAGGACAAGGGTGGGGTGTCGATGAAGTTAAATAGCATATATTAAATGAAGGTCTTAGCGACTTTACTGCAGTCTGTAATGGAAGTCATTCTGCCACTGGGCGCAGTCACGGCC